GCCAGGGTGGCCCGCTCGGCCGCCGTCCGCCTCGCGCTCGCCGCCGCCTCCCTCCGCCTCCCCGTCGCCGCCGCCGCCGCTGATCCCCGGTGGAGCCCACGGCGCAGCGGCGCTGTGCGGCTACCTCGAGGCGGTGCCGTACCCAGGATGGGAATCGTACTCGGGCGTGCAGCTGCACGACACTCGATACAACCTCTCGAGCCCAAGGGCCATCGAGGCTGGCTGTGCAGCCTACGACGCCGGGGCTGCGGAGATGGTGATCGCGAACTGCAACACCAACGGCGACGGCTCAGTCTTCGTGTACCGTGCGTCGAAGGATGCCTACTGCTGCGGCGATGCGACCAACTGGGGGTACGCCTGGGCACCCAAGTGCATCGCGGCGACGTGTGTCTCACCGCTGCCGCCGCCGCCTCCCTCCGCCTCGCCGCCGGCCTCGCTGCCGCCGCTGGTCCCCGGTGGAGCCCACGGCGCAGCGGCGCTGTGCGGCTACCTCGAGGCGGTGCCGTACCCAGGATGGGAATCGTACTCGGGCGTGCAGCTGCACGACACTCGATACAACCTCTCGAGCCCAAGGGCCATCGAGGCTGGCTGTGCAGCCTACGACGCCGGGGCTGCGGAGATGGTGATCGCGAACTGCAACACCAACGGCGACGGCTCGGTCTTCGTGTACCGTGCGTCGAAGGATGCCTACTGCTGCGGCGATGCGACCAACTGGGGGTACGCCTGGGCACCCAAGTGCATCGCGGCGACGTGTGTCTCACCGCTGCCGCCGCCGCCTCCCTCCGCCTCGCCGCCGGCCTCGCCGTCGCCACCGCTGCCGCTGCCGCTGTCGCCGCCGACCTTGCCGACACCGCCGCCGGCCCCGCCGTCGCCACCCTCGTCGCCGCCACCGTCTGTGGCCCCGTGCTACACCAAAGACGGAGCTTGCATCTGCAACATGTCAGGCGAGGACGCTTGCGTCGCCCCTGCCTTGGAGGGCGGCGGCCAGTGCAGCGCCACGGACCCCTGCTTGGCAAATGACCGGGCGTCCTGCCCCAGCGGCTGCCGGTGGGAGTCGCTCAGCTACATGGATCGGGTGTGCTCCATCAACAAGTGCGTCGAGCCGTTGCCGCCACCGCCGCCACCCTCCTCTACGCCGACGCCGCCGCCGCCTCCGCCGCCGCGTCAACCATCCTCACCGCCACCAGCGCCGCCGCCGCCGCCACGGGCGCCTCCACCACCCTTGTGTTCCGACCCAGCTCCGTCGGGTTACAATCAGCCCGGGACGAACTGCCAGTACCACTGCCCGCAATGCGCTGCACCGTATTACGACTGTGGGTGCTGCTACATATTCTACTCAAGTTGCGGCATGGGGGAATGCTCTTCGTTCAAGTGTCAACCATCCTCACCGCCACCAGCGCCGCCGCCGCCGCCACGGGCGCCTCCACCACCCTTGTGTTCCGACCCAGCTCCGTCGGGTTACAATCAGCCCGGGACGAACTGCCAGTACCACTGCCCGCAATGCGCTGCACCGTATTACGACTGTGGGTGCTGCTACATATTCTACTCAAGTTGCGGCATGGGGGAATGCTCTTCGTTCAAGTGTCAACCATCCTCACCGCCACTCTTTTCACCCGCGTCGCCGCCCCCGTCGCCGCCAAGGAAGGCCGTCTCAAAATACTTGGCTACGCTCGACGTGAGCACGGTCCCCTTCAGCAAGGAGCCGGTGACCGTCGATGCCATCATCAAGGCGATCACCGCAGGCATCGTCAGCCAGAGTGAGCCAGCGCAGCTGTCCATCGACGTGCTCCAGCAGTTCGTCGTGGTCGCCTGGCAGAATGACCTGGCCGATGATGAACTCGAGGCGGCCCTGTGCCGCGCAGACGACGACTACGACCCGAATGGATGCAGCGCTACACGGATCGCGGCGGCGCCGCCATCCCCGCCGCCAGCGACGCCACCAGGGCCGCCGCCAGCGACGCCATCGCCGCCAGGGCAGCCGCCAGCGACGCCATCGCCGCCAGGGCAGCCGCCGCAACCACTGACGCCACCAGCGCAGCCGCCACCAGCGAAGCTGCCACCAGCGCAGCCGCCACAAGACAGCCGGCGCTTGCTCTCCATCTCCCGGCGGCGAGCACTCAGTGTCGCGGGTGGCGCCCAGTGGGTCATGCGGGCGAGGCTGGTGAACACCTCGCACACGATCTCCCAGCCTCCCGACCTGGGTGATTTGGCCGAGGCGGTGACGCTGGACGCGGTGATCATCGAGATCGAGACGTTGGTCCTGCCTTCGTCGCCGGACAGCCTTGTCGACGACGCAAGAGATAGCGGCAGGATCAGCACAGAGGTGGTGCCGGGCGTGCTGGCGGCCCTACTAGACCTCTCCAACTTGACCAACGCCACCGACCCATTCAGCTTCATCACCAATGCCACCACCTACCTCTTCCCGCCAGCCCCGCCGCCGTCGCCGCCGTCGCCGCCACCCGCACCGCCGTCGCCGCCGTCGCCGCCACCCGCACCGCCGATGCTGCCTCCGCCTCCGCCTCTGCCTCCGTCGCTGCCAAGTCCGCCGGCGCTGCCGCCCACGGTGCCCGCCCCGCCGCCGCCCTCGCCCCCGCCTCCAGCACCGCCGCCGCCCCCCATGGTCTTGGCTCAGCTGGGCGAGACGTGCGAAGGCTTCGACGAGAGCACTGGCAAGCCCTTCCCATCCTGTGCACCGGGACTGGTGTGTGTGCCGTTGTCGATCGGCATGCTATCGATTCCTGGCGCCGGCAGCACGTGCCAGGCTGAGCCGAAGCCGACCGAGGGAGGGGGCTCTGCGGTGATTGCCGTGGCGGCGATCGCGGCTGGAGTGGCCCTTCTCGCAGTCCTCGGCGGGGCCTGTATGTGCTGCAAGAAGAAGAGCCGCGTGCTGCCGTATCGTCGTGCATCCGTGGCCGACGTGGCAACCCCCAGGACGTCAAAGAGCGGGGCCCCAAATCCCCCCTTGTGGCGTCCCCAAAATTTCGAAGGCGCGCCCAATCGCGCGGGGGTCACGTGACCTCTGTAAACGCGGAGTCCAAAAGGTGTGACACCCCCCCCCCCCCCCCCGCCGCCGCCGCACACACAACTGGCACTCGCGCCCCTCCCTGTCCACTGTCATGTCCTCAGCATGGGACGGCAGTCTTGCCTCCCACGACCCACAGTACCCGGCATGTGTGTGTGCACTAGCGCATGGAGAGAGAGACGAGTTACGTTGTCGTGGGGTCAACTTATGTTTTCTACGCTAGACTTGAGGATGAGCGAGATCACAGCGGCCCCCGGCTATTCACAGAAGGTTGATAACAACAAGAATGCGCGCTGAGATGAGTGCCGCGAGGCGCGGCCGGGGATGACGGTAAAGTGCCAAGACGGCGCCCGTTTTGGCGTAGTTTGTTGAATTCCGCTTACCCGGCGTAATTCGTCGATTTCCGCACCTCTTCGGCAGCGCTCGCACGCCCTCGCGTCAAAACACCATCATGTCGCCCTTTCGGGTGACAGCAAGCAATTTTGCGGGTATACCTGCAAAAATCCGGGTATACCCGGGTAATACCCGTACTTTTGCATGGCTTCGCCTCCTGGGACCACACCCACAGCCGCTTCACTAATCAACACTCCGCATACCACTTTCGCATATACCACTATACCAAGTTAATCAAAATATCACCAAATACCGGTCTCATACCGGTAAAGTTCGAGCACTGCGGCACGCCCGCCTCCGTTGGCCACTCCTACGTACGCCTTCGGCAGCACCGAGGAGAAGGCCCGCCGCCTGAACATGGGCTGCAAGGCGCGCGGGCAGCCCGGCCAACCCTTCTCCCACAAGACCAGCCACGGCTACGTCAAGGCGCATCGCGGTTTCTAACCACGACGCGATCTTTGTCAAGCGCAACAACTTCAACCTGCTGCTCCACGAGACGTTCGGCGGCGGCTTCTCGCCCACCGCTGTTCTCAAGCTGCGCCGCCTCGCGCGCAAGGTCGCGCGCGGCAGCGTCGACCGCACCCACGGCCTACTCGCCCAAGTACTCGCTCTCTTTTATGTCCCACCATCCAGAGCGCATCTCTCTCTCTGTTGTGCGAGGCGTGAACTAACCCATTCGCTCTCACCTGGCAACCCTGTGTGTGCACGTCTCGCGCGCGCGTGAACAGGGCCCGCACTGCTATCAAATCGGTGTCATGCATATGATACCAGGTCACAGGTATGGGTTCGGCACCGCAGATCACACCTTTTTCAGTGTACTCTCTCTCTCAGTGTACGTACTTTTAGCTAACTGGGAGAAAGAAAAGGGACTGGGTCGTGTGGAGATGCATCCATTTTGGGTACCGGCGGATAGCAGGTGAACGCTAAGGTGCGGAGATGCATCCATTTTGGGTACCGGCGGATAGCAGGTGAACGCTAAGGTGGGTTTCGAACCCGTGACAACGCCCGTCTGGGTTTTTTTGCGCCGAGTCGAACTGCGGGATTCGAACTCGAGACCCAATGCATTTTGCGACGATGTATCATTCACTTTAGAGTTTGTTTTTCACTTTATGCCACCCTGGATACAATGTCACTCTGCATCATATGCATGGATGGAGGGGGATGGGGATTCCATGATCCATGTGCGCCACGTACCACGCGACCACGCGTTCGACTCCGCGGCGCGTCCGGTCCGGAGAGCCAGCCACCGACCCCGTCTCCCTCCCCTCCCCGGCCCCCTCCCCCTCCCCTCCGTCTCCCGCCAGAGTGCCTCACTCAGCAAAGCTGCTGGCCTGCTGCGGAGCACTCACGGGGGGCCGCCGGTCTCGAGGGGCCGGTCTTCTGGCCCAGCGAGGCCGCTGCGGGGCACCCGGCGGCTCGGGTCGCTTCTCAACGCAAACTCGGTCGAGCATTTTTGTGTCCGGCTCCAGAAAAAGAATTCGCGGCGTTTTGGAGCTGCGGTGGAGCCGAGGTCCGCTCACCGGCCTGCGCCCCCTTCGCCTCCACCCCCTTCTCCGCCGCCCTTCTCCCCCTTAACCGGCCTGGGATGGCTCAGCGCGGGTCGTGGAATTCGTCGTGGGAGCCACGGCTCAGGACGCTTCCGCCTGATGAGCTCGCCGCGCTGGCTGCCAGCGCCTGCGAGGCCCACCCCGACATGGCAAGCCTCGCCAACACGCTGCTCGGCCCGCTCGTGGACCGGGACGGCGTCGTCAGCTCGCCCGACCTGGTCCCGTTGATCATCAAGCACGTGGAGTGCAACGGCCGGGTGCCGCGCGTCTGCTCCACCTGGCAAAAGGGCTGGGACCAACACCATCGCGGCAAGGGCTCGATGAAGAACGCCTCGTGCGAGAGACTGCCAGCGGCGGCGTTGGAGCAGGACGACTTCTTCGGCTCGGCTGGAGGATTCGTTTCGGATGTGGCCTCGGTGGGCGAGGGGCTGATCATATCGCGGGGGCCCGACGGGCAGGCCCTCCAGCTCGTGGACCAGAACATGGCCGTCAAAAGTGAGAAGAAAATGGACGCATCTAGCCTCCTCCACGCGACCGACCAAAGTGTGTTGACCGCCGAGCCGGGCACGGGCGCCGTCACGGGCTGGCACTCCACCGCTCTCCGGCTCCGATCGCTGCCCGGCTTCGACCTGATTCGCGAGGTGCCTCTCGAAGCGCAAGTGGACGGCGGTCTGTCCCACTGCGACACCTTGCGAGCCGGGACTGTCGTCGACGGCCGCCTAATCTGCACTGTCGGCACGCCGGTCTTTGACGGGCCGCCGGGGGAGCTTTTCTTCCTGCGCGTCTACGACGCGGGCAGTCTCGCCTTCCAGCGCGCCATTCCTCTCGACTTCGCGCCCGCCTTCGGCGCCCTGGCGGTCAAGGGGGGTGAGGTTCGCGTCACTCTTCCACGCGCATCCACCTCCTGTCCCTCCGCCACCCTCGCCACCGCCTCCCTCCGCCCTCGCCGTTGCCTCCGCGCCTCCCGTTCCCCGTGCTTCACCACCGCCCAGCCAAGTCCCACCGCCAAGTCCCACCGCCTCCCTGCGTCCTTGGCCAGGCCTTCATCGGCTGCGCCGGCAATGAGAATGGCTTTGCCGTCCTCTCGCTGGCGAGCGGCGAGGTCGTGCGGCGGCGGCAGCACATCGGGCACCCGGGCGAGCCGGCCCTACGGCGCCTCCTCTTCCGCGGGCAGAAGCTGCTCGCCCTCTCCTCCGACCGGCTGCACGTCCTCTCGGTGAGATGAGCCGAGATCGCCCGAGATTGCCCGAGATTGCCCGAGAACGCCCTCTCCAGGCTGCACGCCCTCTCTGCCACCCCCCAGACACCCACACGCGCCCTGACTACCCCGCCCCGCCTCACACACGGCTGTGGCACCTGAGCCCGATCGGCCGGGTGCGTGTGAGGAGGGGTGGGTGGGGTGGGGTGCAACGTCCGAGTGAGGCATGTCCAACGTGCTCTCCTCCCTCCTTCATCCACCCCCCCCCCCCCTCACTTCCCCAGGCTGCCGCGCCGTACCCGCTCGTGCAGACGCTGCGGCTCGTGGGCCCCGAGGGCGCCGCGGGGGTGGTGGCGACGAGCGCGAGCCTCTCCGGCAACCGGCTGCTGGTCGGGGTGTCAGCGGGCTATCACTTCCCGGGTGTGGTGGTCGGCTGCCCCACGCTGCTCGCCTTTGAGGACTACTAGTGCCTGCACGCAGCGTGGGGCCCGCTTGCACGCATCGGGGCCCGCCTACTCCACATGCACGTGCATGCACATGCACATGTGCATGAGAGCGACAGGGCTGGCCCCTACTAGGGCGGAAGGATCCCAATGGACTCCGCGCGCGGCGCGGGCGGGCGGGGCCCGGCGCCGCCCGGGCATGCGCATCAATCGCACATCGGGGGCGGGATCGATCATATACTTATGTTTCCCGTGCGTGGGCGGCCGGACTTTCGGCGCGTTTGGGGGGGGGGGATTGAAAACCATCCGGACGCGCCCCCCCGCGCCCCGCCCCCCGGCACAGCCACACCGCTCGCACACGCCGCAGCATTCCCAGCCGAAGGTCCGGTTTGGAAGCCAAAGACCCACAATCAGAACGGGCCCTTCTGCCATTCGGCGCGTCTCGGTCGGCCGTGGTTATGTGTTTGTTAGCGAGAAAAAGGCGTCGTAACGGTTCCCAGGTGACCTGCCATGATGCCGGGGGCTCTCATTTGCGCGACCCCGCGCGCCCCTAAAGCTCCGCGGCGTGGCCTCCGCAGGCGCTCCCCTCGCCTCGAGGCAGTCGCGAGGAACGGCAATGGTGAATCCGAACTCGAGGGACGCGCGAGGTTGGCCGAGAGCAACAGCGACAAATGTCAACGCGCTCGCCTCCACCGCCGCGAGTTTCGGGAGAGGCGGCGGCGGCAAACCGCCGCCGCCTCTCTCCTCCTCTGCCAATGCCGCCGCCAACCAGCCAGCCGCCGCCTTCGCAGCCACCGCCGCCCTCACTCCGAGCTCGCAGCCCGCCCGCCCGCCCGCCCGCCGCCTCTCCCCCACCGTCCAATTCCACCGCCCACAGCCCGCCACCCTCACGGCCGCGCCTCCCCCGCCACGCCGCGCCCAGTTTTCATTGTGCTTGCAGAGCTTCTCGTATGCATAGGGATACTGGCCACAGACCAAGTCGTTGCTCTGCATGTAGTTATTGCGCTCGTCCGTGCACTCTGTGCAGGCCTTGGGAGGCGGCAACGGCATGGGTGGAGGCGGCGCTGCAACCTTGCACTTCTCCTTCGTGCTGCTCCACTTGCATCCGCTAGTGGCTTTGCAACTCTGCTTGTCGGTCACGTCCTTGCAGGAAGGCAACGGCGTGGGTGGAGGCGGCGCGGCGCAGCACACGTCGGACGTCGCCGTCGTAGCCCGCTCCGTTCGCATAGCACGAGCGCTGGCAGAACCTCTTCTGCACCCAGTTTTCATTGTGCTTGCAGAGCTTCTCGTATGCATAGGGATACTGGCCACAGACCAAGTCGTTGCTCTGCATGTAGCTGTTGCGCTCGTCCCGTGCACTCGAAGCGTGCAAGTTGCTCGGAAGTGCGCCTTCTCACAAGCGATAAATCAGCGATAAATTCGACGCCAATCATGATTGGCCCACTAGAGGCGGGTGATGGCTCTGCTGCCGCCGCATGAAGCAATGGCGCCTTCGATAGTCTGCTACTTGCGGTCACGGTCACAAGGGAGGAAACGATGAGCAGCATGCGCGCCTTCGGTGATGGCTCGGGCGAGCACCGCGGCACGGAATCGCTTCCCGTGGTAGTTTCTTGTTGGAAAGACCGCCGTGGAGTAAATAAGGGAGTTACGTCGTGAAATTCTCTTATGTACACCTTAGAGCCCAATCCGAATAGTTGGTTGCGCGATGGTGGACCTACATGTACATGTACCTGGTGGTTGTGGTTGGTGTGTGGCTCGCTCGGGAAGTGTTGCGAACGAACGAATGAACTCACCATGTTGATTCCCAAAATTCCCTTACTCAATCTAACTTACCATGTTGATGTGACAGCATGAGCCCGTATTATACATCCACTCCCACCACCAGGACCAGCTGGCCGCGGGCGTACTGCACACCACTCGACACGCGAGAGACTAAATCCCACAGACACTTTTCGACCGACACGACAGCTGACGCCTTTTGCAGCCTCATGGTGGACGCGGCGTATACGTCCGGGCTACTGCGACATTGAAGCTCCAGCCCTCCCGCTGTGCGGCGGCGGCGGCGCTGACGCCGGGGCGCGCAGGCGACTTCAGGCGCGCGCACGTCGGGTGGTAGGAGCTCGCGTCCACTCCGGACCTGGCCGCTCTCGGTCCTGCAGGTGCGCACCAGCTCGAGAGCAATATGCTACCAGGTCACAGTATGGGTTCGCAATATGCGAGAACTCGGCCAGTCACGTGCGACGACGGTGGGACTCACCTTGCTCCGAGTTCAGTGTGTCTATCTAGACGACCCTTGCGCGTCCTGTGCGAGTCACGCAGCGCGAGTCACTGTACAAGCCCGCATGATGCGACTTGATGCTTGAAATGGCGACGACACTTAGAGTGCCAATCTGAGTGCCCGCTTAAAGTGCCCATGAACTAGCACCCCCTACCCGGGCTAAGTCCTCTCCCACCCAACCCGCCCACTTGGCGCCGGCGCAGGAGCCAGGGCAAGTGCCGGCGCTGGTGGCAAAGGTGCCGGCGCAAAGGCAACTGGCGAGGCGCAAGGAAGGTGTGGCGCAGCGTCCCCTGGAGCCCTGCCTAGCTGGTTGCGTAAGGCGCTTTCTCTGAGCGCCACCGCTTCATCATCGCACGCCGCCGCTGCCGCCAGCTCCACCTCAGCCACGGCCAGCAGCCTCGATGGCTCCCCGGCGGCACGCGCGTAGGCCACTGCCGCCTCGACCGCGGTGGCAAAGTAGCCCAGGGATACAGGCCTCCCGTTCTCGTAGCGCCTCGCCTCGAAACGGCCTGAGGCGTGCTCTTTCACGCCCTTGTAGCCGCTGCTGCTAATAGAGTGGTGCAAGCGTAGGCCCTCAGGCACCACCACCGCCGCCGGCGGAGGCCGTGGCTGGTACTCCCCCACCGCCCGCGCGTACGCCACCGCCGCCTCAACCGCCGAGTCAAAGACACCGATCGAGGTGGACCTGCCCTTCACAGTTTGCTGCGCCTGGAAGCGGCCAGAGGAGGGCTTTATGTGCACACCCTTGTAGCCCGTGCTGCTGCGGCTGGAGAGATGCAGGCGCAGGCCCTCCGCTGATAATTGCTGCGGCTGCGGCGCTGGCGGCGGCAACGTCGGCCGCGGCGGCGGCGGCAAGCTCTCGCGAGACATGTCTGGTCCATTAGACTGAGGCTGCGCATCCTGCTGCCGCCACCCGCGCGCAATGAGCTTGGCGGCCGCTCCCTTCTGCGCTGCCGGAAGCTCTGCTTCCGCGGGCTGCTCCGCCTCTTGCAGCCCTGCCCAGGGATCGGCCGCCTCTGGCCCTGTTGCCGGAATCACCGCCTGCGCCAACTCTTCCGCCTCCATGAGAGTTTTCCCGCTGCATATTGGCCCTGTCACCGCCGCCTCTGCCGCCTCTGCTGCCACCGCCGACTCCGCTGGCGGAGCTGGCATCCTCGGATGCTCGTACGCGGCCGAGTTCGAATGCTCGATGGCGATGGCGTCCTCTTCGGCCGTGGTTGCGGGACCGTGGCGTTTTCGCTTCATGCACATTGCGCGCGTCCTCGAGGACGGCAAACCGGGAAAATGACCTGTTCACGTAGCTTGTTCAGCTGGATCCGGGGCAGTCGGATGCACCCCTCACTGGGGGAGGCGGCGCGGGCGGCAGGCGCATATGCGCGGGTGAGGGTCGGGCGGGGGGCGGAGCCGAGAGCGGCTCACGGGTTTGTCCGGTGGGGGGGGGCGGGGCGGGGCGGGGCGGGGTGGATCGGGTCGGGTCGGGGTGGGGCGGGGTTGCTCGGGTCGGAAGAGAAGAGAACCTCCTTATCAGCTGGTCGGCCGCCATGTGGGCCTCCGGGCCTGCTGCGGCGGCGCGGCCGGTTGAGGCCGGGCTCGGCCCGCGGCCCGCGACGGCTGGCCGCCGACGAGCGATCTCGCGCTGCTCGTCAAAATGGCGGCGGTGTCGATTGCGGCAACGGTCGTTCAGTCGCTCAGCGCTCAGGCGTCTGTCGTCTGTCGTCTGTCGTCTGTTGTCGCATTTCGCACACGCGCGCGCCGCGCGACCCGCGTCGCTCCGCGAGGGCATGAGCCTTCCGCGCCCCCGCAATCTTCTACCCCCACGACTCGGAACGCGAATGTGACAGGACCATCGGGTCCTTCGGCCACCAAAGCGAGATCACCCGAGAGCAGCTGAGTCTGCCTCTGGCCTCGCCTCCCTCTCCTTCAGGCATTCGTGGCATCCTATGGGTCGTCCAGAGTTATCGACCTCTGGCGAGTCAGCCAGCCCCACTTTGAGGGCGCCATGAAGTACAGCGATCGCCAACTCGCTGGCCTCTTCGCAAGGCCCCCCGACCGTGTCGAACTCATCGACGCGGGCTCTCTCGGCTGCGGGACCGGCCCCAGCTTCGGCTGAGGGCTGACAAGCTGCCGAGCCCAAATCACTGTGAGAGTCGTGATTTCTTGTTGATTTTCAAAAAATCTCTCTCGGGTCGGGGTGGGGAGGGGTTGTGGGGTGGGGTGGGGATGACATGTCGGGGTGGGGAGTGGGTGGGCGCCGGAGTGGGCGTGGTGTGACTGCTCCTGTGGCGCGGGCGACGGCATGTGAATTTTGTTTTTTTCACACGCAATCTCACTCTATCAGAGGCGTGAATCCTTTAGGATTCTCGCCCGCTCTGCTGAGGGGAGGAGCCGGACGATCGCTCGGTCGAGCCTGCCCTGCTGGTCTCTGACCTCATGTTGACATTCTATTCACAGACAAATGAATCTCGGCGGGCGGATTACGTCCCGCGCTCACACTGCTCACTCCTTGTGCGAGCCGCCGGTCAGCGATCAGCTCGCCTCTCCTACTTATCTTCCGTCGCTTTCGTCGTGATGAGTGCGGTCGACATCGCGGCGAAGGCCGTCTTCACGGCATCGTCGACGTCTGCGACGAACGGGATTACAGTGGGACAAATCATCGTCCGAAAGATGAAGGTGCTTGACGACGCCCCCCCTGCCTCCGTTGCTCAGCGGGGCAGCTGACGCGCAACAGCTCTCCCATAGGCGACTCGGCAGGTGCGCCGGCGCAAGCCATCGCCTAGATGCTACGCGCCCCTGATCCCTGCCCAGCGCCCGGGCGACGCCCGGGCTCACACTCCCCTCGAGACACTCCCACACAGCCAACGAGGGACTGGGGGGCAACCGTTGCGACTGGTGCGCGCACACGATGGTCTCCGCGGTGCCGGGAAAATCTACCACAAAACTACTACGACGGCAGCCAAAAGCTCTTCTTCTCGTCGAAACACCACGTCGGCTGCGCTCACCGCCGACGGCTGCCCTTGCCGTCGACATTTTTTCCGCCGATTCATCGCCGCCGTCTTTATCCCAAGCGTCTAGGCCACTGCTGGCGGTCACCACCGATCTCCACGTCGCCGATTCCATCGCGGAGGACGCCACCACCGCCGGAGCTAGCACCTCCTCGGCACGCGGGGCACTTCCCGCCTCCCCCCCCCCCCCCCTCCCTCGCGCCTGGGCCGCTCGGGACGCAGCCCCGCGTTCTCCCCGCCCCCCCCTCCTCCCTCCCTGCCTCGACCCTCTTCCACGCGCCGCTCGCGCAGGTCTGCTATACTCGGGGTCGTATTTCGATGTGCCACACACCGACAACAAACAAAAGCTCACACACACACACACACACACACACACACACACACACACACACACACACACACACACACACACACACACACACACACACACACACACACACACTACCACCACCACCCACCCACCCGCCACACACCACACACCCACACACACACACACACCCCACACACATTCCCCCCCCCAAACCCCCCCCGGCCTCTCTATATTCTCCGGCGTCCAATCGCCCGAGACATGAACTTGAGCCCGCTCCCTCGGGCGCCGCCCTCCGCAGGCTCAACGTTCGAGCTTTGTCTCCCGTCACTCTCTCCTCTCATTTCAGACCCCCCACTCATGCGCATAGCTGTTCGCACTTCCGACCAATGCAGGCCGCTTAAAGTGCCCCAGCGCCGCCCCACACCTTCGCCCCTGTGGCTGTGCCTCTCAGGCTCCGCCCTGCGCGGATTTCGAGTGCACCGGCTGCAACTATCTCAGCACCAATGGGGCCTATTATGAAGCGCCGCCTGGCCAGTGCTCCTTCGACTCGTCCACGCAGAAGTGCAAGACGTCGATCTGGAACGACGTCGAGAAGGACACGTGCCTCGCCGAGGTAATCCCCAATCCCCGCAACCCCCCCCCCCCCCCATCCCTCTCTTCCCCTCCTCCAGTCTCTCTCTCCCTCCCTCCCTCTCTCTCTCAGCCGCCGCCGCCTTTGCTTTGCGCTCCCTGCCGCTGCCCCAGCGCCGCCCCACACCTTCTTCCTCGCCCCTGTGCCCCTCTCAGGCTCCGCCCTGCGCGGATTTCGAGTGCACCGGCTGCAACTATCTCAGCACCAATGGGGCCTATTATGAAGCGCCGCCTGGCCAGTGCTCCTTCGACTCGTCCACGCAGAAGTGCAAGACGTCGATCTGGAACGACGTCGAGAAGGACACGTGCCTCGCGCCCCCTCCGTCCGCGTCGCCCCCGCCGTCCGTTTCGCCGTCGCCGCCGCCGCCTCTGCCGCCGCCTCCCTCCGCCTTGCCTGCGCCGCCGCCGTCCGCCTCGCCCTCTCCGCCGCCGCCGTCCGCCTCGCTGTCGCCGCCGCCGCCTCTGCCGCCGCCTCCCTCCGCCTTGCCTGCGCCGCCGCCGTCCGCCTCGCCCTCGCCGCCGCCGCTGTCCGCGTCGCCCTCGCCGGCTGCCGCGCGCCGCGGCGGCACATGACCCGTCT